GGATTGGGGGGGAGGGGGGAGGCTGGGAAGGGATGTGAAGGGTAAACAAAGGAGGAGGCTGCAATGCTTGGTAAGAAATGTACGCATTATCCTGCCTATGTAATTGTAACTCCTCTGTACAGTATGTTCACAAATAAAATAAAATTTAAAAAAAAAAGGCTATGGGAGCTGGAAAGGCGTCTTAGGGGTAGAGTGCTTGCCTAGCATGCATGAAGGCCTGGGTTTGATTCCTCAGTACCACATACACAGAAAATGCCGGAAATGGTGCTGTGGCTCAAGTGGTAGAGTGCTAGCCTTGAGCCAAAGAAGCTCAGGGACAGTACCCAGACCCTGAGTTCAAGTCCCAGGATTAGGGGGGGGGAAAGCCTATGGAGTATATATTTGGGTTCCTGATATTCTTTCCCAGGTAAGATGAGGCAATGTTTAGACCATTAGAAACAGACACAAGTGGGGTCTCTTAGTAAGACACATGGTGGTCTTGGGTAACTCTACTGTGGTGTATCTGATTCTGTGTTATAAAGAGTTTAATACATATACCTGAACAACCAAGAAATGCATGTTTCCTATAGAAAATGATTTGTGGAAAAGCAATGACATTTCGCATAACATACATGTGCACAGTCAGAGATGGGATCACATTTTTAAAAATTACAAAGTCAACATCTGCGATGTACAACAGGTCAAGATGGAATTCTATACTTCCGGCCATGGTTTAGCAGTATGCCGACACTTACAATTACTATCATACATTGGAAAACTGCTATAAGGAATTATCAGGAAGGCCTGAAGAGGTCACCTGGGATGTTCCTTCCAAAGGTAAATTCCTGAGTCCCACCAACCAGAACACCTGTGGTTGAGTCTCAATCTTTTGACAGTTTTGAAGAACCAGTAACAATTCCACAACTTGGCCACACAGTGGCAGTCTAGTGCTACTTTCTGCAAATCTTTTCAACCAGCTTTCTATCATTTGGTTTACATCATTTGTTGGCTTGTAACGATTTACTACCAGCAAATTGCTCCTTTATAAATGTACCTTTCACTCTGCACCTATGAATCATCAACATCAATGTTCATGTACTTAAAAAAACAAAGTGCCAGTAAAATAAATTCACCTAGTGACGTTCTCATTAAAATAATATAAGTAGTGCTACCTTTGCAGAGAGGAAGACACATAAATGAAACATTTTGATAGGCAGCTCAAACTGTCAGAGGTGTGGAAAGCTCAAACTTACCAGAAACTGCAGTGAAATTGAACTGCTCTACCTCTTGATGGTAGACAGTCTCATGTCTATACTAATAACTGAACCACGGGTCAATGAATACCACTGAATACGAATGATCAATAATGACACTGTATTCTACATTGGATATTCTCAGTTCATATTTATCCTGTACCCATTTGCTGCAACATCTGAAGAGTGTGTCCCTTCAGGAGAAATAAATGAGGAAAATTGCATGCAGTGATGAAGTATGCAGGGTATTCGGACTCATAACGAAATTGATTTGTTTCTGGCTTATCAATAATCACATTCGTCGTGGTAGATAGTTCAACATTCCTATTCCCTATCCCTAAAGCCTCCCTTCTTTCCCACAGCTCAGCGCACTATCTCTGAGTGGGATTGTTGGTTTGTTTTCCCTCAAGTTCATGGCTTCTTAGGAGGACACCCCTTACAGAGACCACATAGTAATCTTTGCATCCCTGTCTCACATCCCCTTTCTATTCCCTCCAGTTTCCAAGTGACCAGTGTTGTGGCCGGTTCTTTGCGGTCAGGACCGGAGTCAGGTTCGCAGGCTCAGGTGAAGTGGCCTCTGCCCCTCTCTGAGCCTTCAGAGCACACATTGGACCGGCAGTGACTCTGCTCTCAGTGGTATCCATGGGGTGAGGTGGGTGTGGTGATATCAGCCATGGCCACAAACCTGGCTCACAGCCGCAGTGCCGCTGTGCGATCTAGAACCCAAAAGAAGCCAGGCGCTGGTGGCTCACGCCTGTCATCCTAGCTACTCAGGAGGCTGAGATCAGAGGATCAAGATTCAAAGCCAGTCCAGTCAGGAAAGTTCATGAGACTCTTATCTCCTATGAACCACCAGAAAACCGGAAGTGGTACTGTGGCTCAAGCGGTAGAGTGCTACCCTTGAGCTGAAGAGCTGAGGGACAGCGCCCAGGCCCAGAGTTCAGGTCCCACGACCCATGATCATCCATTTCCTTGAAAGTGACATGGTAGTTTTTCCTATGGATGAATGAAATGTCATTGTTTAGATACTACATGTACTGGATCAAAAGTAGGGAGTGTTTTGTGGGTTTGCATGTCATTCTTGTGCAGGGGCCAGGCGAATGTGTGTGACCAGTTTGTAAAATCTTAAACCAAGCACAGAATCTGACCCATCATGATTGTCTTTCTTACCTGCCATCTTCGGTGCCATTGATTTCAAAGCCTTCTCCATCTTTGCTCCAGGACAGCTTCAAACTGCGCTTCAAATGTGAGTCACAGTTGCTCTCGCAATACAATTCAAGCATGTGAGATTTGTGGACTCGAGGATTCTTAGGGGAAATGGTGAGTTTTGTAGCATCTGTTTATACATGAAATATAGATAGGAGTTACTATCACAGGGCACAGCTTACTTTGTAATCAAGTGCCTGCAACTGAATCAACCAAAATTGTTAGCTTTGCTAGGCAAATCAGCAGGTAATGCTCATCCCAAATGTAATGTTCTAATGCTGTCTCTCATTATTACTGTCTTTCTTGGCAGGCTTGGTCATCTGGCAAAATATGAGTAAAGTACAAATTATAGCTCAGCAATTTTTCTTATTATGCTTAAGTATAAGGAATAAGCAAACTATAAGCAAATGAATGCTTTTAGAAGCTGAAAATAATTCCATTTCTCCATCTGTTGCTTTTTGTTGTTGTTGGTTATGGGGCTTGAAATCTGGGGTTGGATGCAATCCCTCAGCTCTTCATCTCACGGTAAGCACTCTACCGCTTGAGCCACAGTGCCACTTCTGGTTTTCTGGTGGTTTATTGGAGATAGGAGTCTCACAGACTTTCCTGCCTGCACTGGCTTTGAACCATGATCCTGAAATCTCAGCCTCCTAGTAGCTAGGATTACAGGCATGAGCCATGGGCACCCGGCTTCTGTTATTTATTTATTTATTTATTTTGTCGGTTGTGGGGCTTGAACTCTGGACCTGAGTGCTGTCCCTCAGCTCTTCAGCTCAAGGCGAGCGCTCTACCACTTGAGCTACAGCACCACTTCCTCTGTTGCTTTTTAATATGTAATTGGAACCTTATTTTAAAAGCAGGGAAAAGTTAGTTGATTTTCTGTTACCCTCTCCCTTTTATTTTGTTTGTATTTGTGCCAGTACTGGGACTTGAACTCAAGGCCTTTACCTTTTTCAGTCAAGGCTAGAACTCTACTAATTGAGCCACAGCTCTACTTCCAGGTTTTCACTGGTAATTGGAGATGAACATCTCACAGGCTTTCCTGCCTGGGGAAAAACTTCGATCCATGATCCTCAGATCTCATCTTCTTAAGAAGCTATCATTACAGGTGTAACCCCTTAGTTGTCTGACCTAAACAGGATTGCTAAATATCGTTGGTCATTGATCACTAATAACACCAAACTCCATGTTGTACAAAACCCTGGTGCATACATCATGCTTGCAATCATCTTTTAGATGATCTTCAATAAAGGATGGATTAAAAGGGGCCAACAGAACTACACAACTCAGATTGAAATCATATTGTTTCACTTGAGGACATGAAAACCTACAGAAAAACCATTTGAAAAATCATGCAAAGTTTAAAAACCAAAGAAGTAAAAATACTTCTAATATCCAGATTGGCTGTGACTGCAGTTTTTCCAATAGCGTTTTCTACCCAACAAGAGTAAGACCCCGCATCTTCTTCCGTGGCCTTCCGTATCTGCAAGGTGCCATTTTCATACACATGGTACCGGCGGCCTTCCAGAGGTTTAGCTGCGTCCACGGTCTGCCTATTGAAAAACACATAGCATCAATTGGGATGGGATGCTACGCTCCTATTCTCTGCTCGTTGATGTCATCGTCCCTTCCTCTGGTGCTTAGTCCACTGGGATTAACAGTTGTTCTTAAGTTTGCTCCTGATCTGTGGAGAGTCTAGGCAGTCAAGCCCAAGTTGGAGCTTCTGCTGTCTTCCTCAGTTACCAATACCGCTTCGCATCCACCCTCAGAGATTCATAAATACATTCTGGCTTATTGATAGTGAACTCTATAGTTAATGATCGCTCCCGGGTACTACATGGGAAAGTTAGTAACTGAGAGACATAACGAACCCTTCCACACCTCCTGCTGTCCTGGGAGAACATTGGTCATTCAGAAATATTAGAAGCCAGGAAAGCCCTTCCGTGGTGTGGACACACGGTGGATACACCTCATCCAGCTCGGACTCCTTTTCTCCTACCTCTATCCATTTTCCAACCTCTCCCTGCCACAGCTTGATGGACCCTTTGCATTTTTATAATAGGTGATAGCTCAGACTCAAAAATTGCCAGCATGTGGGTTGCTCACGGGGGGGGGGGGGCGGACCAAGGCAGGGACGAAGTGGAGGTGAAGGCAGGTCCTGCCTTGGGTGCATTATCTAAGAGGGAGTCAAAGATTCCATTGAGACAAGGGAAAATATCTCCATGGATTACTGTCCAAAATAAAGACAACAATGCCCCACATCACAACACCCAAACATAACGCGATTGTAATTAGAGACAATGTGTGGATATACTTGAATGGCAAGTTCACAGCTTTTACTCCGTCTGAGGCCAGCAGAATAATGGTCAAATTTTTAACAGTAGATTGGCCAGATGGTTTCAGTAAAAACGTGGTAGATCCACATGACAATACATGCTATGATATTGATTATATGAATGCTGGTAATGTTCCTATACTGACTGAATTGTTTCTAACTTAATTATGTGATTAATTACACAATTAATTTGTGTGATTACTTCTAAAATCATTTCTATAATGATATAGCTAATGGTTAGATAATTATATGTAGATAACCATATGTTAATTATATCATTATATTTTAGTAATATAAATATATAAATATACTTAGATAAGTATATTAAGTATTAATTTATAACTACATATTACTAATATAAGTATATAGAGGTTTTTGGTTGTTTATTTTTTTGCCAGTTCTGGGGCTTGAACTCAGCTCTTGGGTGTTATTTTTGAGCTTCTTTGTGCTCAAAGCTAGTGCTCTACCACTTGAGCCACAGTACCCCTTCTGGCCTTTTTTGAGTGGTTTATTGAAGACAAGAGTCTCACAGACTTTCCTGCCCAGGGCTGGCTTTGAACCATGATCCTCACATCTCAGCCTCATGATCCACTGGTGCCCGGAAGTATACGTGAATTGAATTAACTGAAGATTATTTGTTAAGGTGATCCTGGAATGACCACACTAACAGCTGGCCTTAGATCTGCTCCTAGTGAATAAACAAACCCAGAATTCCTTTGCTTCTTTGCTTTTTGAACACAGATGTCTCCCTGTCTCTGTCCACATGGGATGGCCATGACGGATGGTTTCTTAGCTTTAACTAATCACCTGTACTCTCTTAGCACCCAGAAACACCGGCTCCACACAGCAGTGTGGACACAGTTCAGCTCATCACAAGACAGATAAGGAAATAGGACAAAAAAACTCCCCAATCCCTTATCAGAAGAACAGGTCACGCTGGCTTACCAGGTCACAACTGCTTCAGGTGAAGCGAAGAACTCGCAATGTAAGAAGGCACTGTACCCAGCCACGGTGGCGTAGTTCTCTTCATCTTTCGTTTTGATCAGTGGGAGGACATCTATTGGAAAAGGACGAGGCTATAGTTTACATAGAAGACCTCTGGGCAGATCAGGCTTTATGATCTCCAAACCACATTAATGAGAAGGGAAGACGGATGGTTACAGGACAGAGCCCTGAGTCTGAAAATGATTCCAACTCCATACGTCTTGCAAGTGTCATTTTAGTATGGAATCCAATGCCCACAGGTAGGACAAAAGAGGATTTGATTTTCCACGCATGTTTTGTGTCCCAAGAATGGTACGGGGAAGGGGAGGCACAGAAACGGAGGGACAAAGGGTGAACTAATTCAGCAGTGATGCTCACCGGACACTGGACTGGAAATGAACTCTACAACTTGGGGTAAGCGGGGTCGGGAGGGAGAAAATGAGGGAAGGGGTGACACTGTTCAAAAAGAAAGGTACTCATTACCTGACTTAGGTAACTGTCACCCTGTGTACCTACCCCCTTACGCTAGAAGTAAAAAAGAAATCATACAAAATAATTAAACGGATATGTGGGTAATGATAACGTGGACCCATTTTCCCTCAGAAAAGAGTAAAGTAAATGCAAGGGCCCGGTGGGGTTGAGGTAGATGGGGGGCTGGGAGGGGGTGGGGTGGTGCTGATAGAAGGGTACTCATAAGTGGACCTGCTGCATTGATGCCCCCGTGTACAGCCACTTATGGATATATAATAATCCTTGGTGAATTAAAGGAGGAAAAGGGAGAGCTGCTCAGGTGTGCTCTCCAGCACGCTCACCCACAACATCAATGTTGACGTTGGTGAGGATGGTTCCGTGCACGTTGGAGGCCTCACACTGGTACACGGCAGTGTGATTTGGGTGGAGGTTGGTAAAACTGACTTCGTTGGGGAGGACAACATCACCAGCAAATGGATGGTCTGCAAAAGATGAAAGAATGATCGGAGAACGATGAAGAGCAGGACATGAAATATTTACACACCATTTGCTCAACGTGTCACACAGAATCTATATTTTAAGACCAGGTTGAAGGATAGTTGAACAGGGCCAAACACATTAGGCTTTCCTAAATGAATCACGGAGATTTCTTTTCAGACCCTTTTGCACTTTCTGTCTTCCTTCGCCTAGATATTCATTGTGGAATAGCTGTGGGGTTACAGACCATTGCCTGGCTAGGTCTTGGCACCCAATAAGATGGCAGGCGATTACTGCTGTGTAAGTCCTCCTGTAGATGGACTGAAACTCTCATACTTGTCTGAAGTAAGTCTAGTTTAGTACCAGCAAAAATCATGAGGTCAATGCATCGTGGGTCCATTCATCCATCCTTGCTTTCTCTTTTGACACCAAGTTCCTGTTTTACAAAGAAATTGTTCCCTACTTTTCTGCAGCAATAATGATTGTGTTATTTTGGGGGCTCATAGAAAACCTTAAATCTCCAAAAGTAAAAGAAAAGGATTTCCTTATACATCTTTTCTTCCAGGTCTCCAATAAGAAAAGGATTTTCTTATATATCTTTCCTTCCTGGCAGTCATAAATGAATACACTTTTTTTCCTCTCTAGACTGTAAGCTGCAGGGAGAAGTATCTTTAAGCGTATCCACATGATTACACAGTGAGTCCATAGCTCTGGAATATTATCTCTCACGGAACACACAGTATACATTTGTGGAAAGGGCTGCAAAAAAAATTAGAATGGGTGACATTTTATTCATGAGAGACTCATTACAGAGGCTGAAAAAAAAAATAGTCCCTGAAACAGATCAGTACTCTCAGCCTCAGAATTTATGAGGATGTTATCTTAGATTGGAAAAGGAATGTTGCAGATGTTATTAAGGTTAAAGACCTTCAGACAGAGAAACTATCCCAGATGAATCAGGTAGACCCCATGTAATTATATTGCTTCTTAAAAATAAGAAGAGTTGGAGCTGGAAATATGGCTTAGTGGCAGATTGCTTGCCTAGTATGCATGAGGCCCTGGGTTTGATTCCTCAGTACCCCTTAAACAAAAGAAATAATAAATTGTATTTTAGTTTTCTTGGTGGTCACAAGGCCTGAACTCTGGGCCTGGGCGCTGTCCCTCAGCTCTTCAGCTCAGGTTAGTGCTCTACCATTGAGCCACAGCACCACTTCCAGGTTTTTCTGCTTATGTGGTGCTGAGGAATCGAACCCAGGGCCTCATTCATGCAAGGCAAGCACTCTACCACTTAGCCACCTTCCCAGGCCCGATAAATTGTATTTTTAAAATAACAGAGAACCATGTAGCCAGAGGGAGGTACATAACTATAGAACAAAATGGTCAGAGAGATGTAAGGATGCTGGTTTAACCAAGGGCTTGGAGTGGGGGGGTGAATGAGGAGGGCGTCATGAGATGGGTAATTGGAGCAGGCTATGGGATGGGAAAAGCCAAGAATGCTCAGCTGTCCTGACATCTTGATTTTAGCTCAGTAAGACTCCATTAGACTTCTAACTCACAGAAATATATAATCATAAATGTACCCCATTTGAAACCACTGAGTTTGGGGGCAATTCGTTAGAGTCAATTAGATAGTGAATATAATTCTTGAGGAAAAATTTTCAAGTATCTTTGGAGAATTAGATGGCTAGCTCTTTTGAGTTCTTGAAGGCAGAATGCTCGAAGAGCGCTGCGAGGTCTGTGTGTCTGAGTTGATGCTTTACACCACACACACACACACACACACACACACACACACACACACGTCTATGCTTTACCGAGCTACCCTGATCCTTCCTTTCTTTCTCCAGGCCTTCTGGACAGCTCTGAATGAGCACAGCATCTGCAGCAGCCAGGAATCCCTGCTGTGCTCTCTTACCAGTCTGTGGAAGGTCAGCAACAACCACGACCACATAGCTCGAATGCCGCAGGGCCTGTGCACACACACATTGCAGTCTGGCTCCAGAGATGATAACCAGACAGAAACTTCTACAGTCCAGTCACCACCCCTCATGGCTGGTTATATTTATCTCATTCAGCCCAAACAAACGACTACTTTCTTCATTTTGTAGCTCAGAAAGTTTAAGTTTGGGGAGGAGGGGTTATCCAATAAACAGCTCAAGGCTACACAGCTAGGAAGTTCACACAGCCTAGAAGGAACCCCAGTCTGTGGTCCAGGGGGAGGTCTCCCAGATATGTGCAAGTCTAAGGCACAAGAATAAATGGGAGATGGGCGCCGGTGGCTCACGCCTATAATCCTAGCTACTCAGGGGGCTGAGATCTGAGAATCGCGGTTCAAAGCCAGCCCGGGCAGGAAAGACCGTGAGACTCCTATCTTTAAACCACTAGAAAACCGGAAGTGGTGCTGTAGCTCAAGTGGTAGAGTGCTCGCCTTGAGCTGAAGAGCTGAAGGACAGCGCCCAGGCCCAGAGTTCAAGCCCCATGACTGTCAAAAAAAAGAATAAATGGGAGGCGTGAAATATATCTAATATTTGAACTTGCTCTTGATTGAGCTGAAGCATAACATATATTCTCTCCTCTTGTTTGCACAAATTACATTCCAAGCAACTTGAGCTCTGGGTTTGAGTTGAGGTTGTGGACTTCGAGGTCTAGTCAGAGCCTGGTACGGGGAGAGGACAGGTCTTCTGTTCTGGTCTATTTTAGCCTTTCTGTACTATGCTTATCCATGCAGGTCTCAGAACTGATTGGACAAGGACATTTGGTCTGGGAGATTGAAGAATGGTTAAGATTCCTGGATCCTGGGACATGTGCATTCATTTGAGCCTGACATGACTTTTGGTCCCTGAAAATCATGGAGACAAGTAGGATGTCTGATGACCAGTGAAGAGACAAAGGTTACTGCCACTGGATGCCAGAGAGGTCCTGACTTCCCAGCTGTGTTCCCAGACACTCAGAAACTTTATTTCTTTTCAGGGAAAGGAACCAATAAGTGTCTTTCCTTCTTGGGTGCATCCTGTTCCTCATTTAGCTGCATTTTTAAAAAAAATTCAGTTTTATAGATGCTTCTTAAATTAATCTAATCATACATTATTTCTGGGTCATCTATACATGACACATTCCCATAAGCAGTCAAGTTGCCCAGAAAGAGGCACTTTCTGACTTCCTGCTCTGCCATTCCAGCCACTTCCCAGCTCCACTTTTCACACGCCCAGTGTGTCTGCCTGTTCACCATCCCATCCAAGCACGGAGGTGCCCATTTCAGCACCCCTGGTAAGCTAACTCACGCTCAGCCGGGGCGCCATTGACTCTCCACGTGATGGTGGGTTGAGGATACCCTCCAGCCTCACATAACAAGATCCCACTGCTGCCTGTGCTGAACACACAGCTCTCAGGCTTCTTGGTCCAGTAGGGAGGCTCTGGAAACAAAGAGAAGGGCTGATCAGGGCTCCATCTATACAGAAAGGATAGAAAAAAGTTAAGGCCTGCATTTCTCCTGCTCACCAGCAGAGGGCAGGCACCACAACTCTTTCACAACAGTAGCTTTCTGTACACTTGCTCTGCAAAGGAAACTGGGCATCTTGTGTGTGTGTGTGTGTGTGTGTGTGTGTTTAATTTGGACTCCATGTATAATAACTCAACACACTAAAAATAGCCATAGATAGCCACTTTATTTAGCTACAAAAGTAAATCTTCCTAGCTGAAAATGAAAGAGGAAAAAGCACAGTGTGCTGGCTTCAGCTTTGCAGGCTGCAGCAGGGGTACAAGCAAAAGATCTGAGAAATGACACTGAGAAATGTGATTTGAGAGCTGGTTTTAATGAAAGTAATTGGAACTGTCAATATTTTGTTTCTTATCTAATGACATTCGCTTTTGGGGGCTTTCTTTTCTTTATTATTCTTAAGTAGTTTTATAGGTGTAAGGGTTTCAATTTAGCAAACCAGTTCATGAGCATAATAATGCATCTCAATCAATATCAGCCTTTGCATTATTCTTCTGCAAAGGTGCAGACTTTGCTGGTTTTGAACTTATGATCCCCCTACCCAATTCTACTCACTAATTACTGGTTAGCCATCATAGCTGGTTATAACATTTTTATATCCATCCATCCTTATATCTATCTAACGAGTGAATTTGGACATATATTTTTCTTTGTCAGATGTGGGGCTTGAACTCTGGGTCTGAGAGCTCTCCCTGAGTTCTTCAGCTCAAGGCAAGCACTCTACCCCTTGAGCCATAGCACCACTTCCGGTTTTCTGGGAGTTAACTGGAGAGAAGAGTCTTTTTTCCTTTCCAGGAACTGAGATCCTCAGATCTCAGCCTCCTGAGTAACTAGGATGACAGGCATGAGCTACCAGCACCTGGCTAAATCAGGAAATATTGAGTTAACTGAACACCATTTTTTGGAGATGAAGGGATTTTGTTTGCAGGCTTTACTTTTGGTCTTGCTATGTAACCACAATAAAATCAACATGTGGGACTTACAGGAAAAAGCTCTAAGAGCAGACACAGTATCCTGTTTACAGCAGAAAACCATGACTATGGCTTTTCAGAACATCTAAAACTAAAGATCAGGAAAGGATAATATTCCTTTCAATTTGCCAATGTAATAAAATCATGGTTTCCATTTCTATTATCAAATTTCCTTAATCTCTTAATATAGATAGCTCTGAGAATCTATATTAAGATCTACGGCTGTTAAGAAGGAAGCCGGTCTTAAGGTATCAGCACCTCTAATCCTTTCACCTCACAGACACTGGACTGAGCTTTGGAGAATCATCTAATTTTCCCAGTGCTGTCAGCACAAACATTCCCGTTTCCTCTGTCTGCCACTTCATGGGTCTGTGGACAGGGCCTATGGGAGAATCAGCCTGGACTCAAAGCTTTGTGGTTAGCTTCCAATTAATTGCTCCTTTTTAATCTAGACTAAAATGAGAAACAACGTCAGCTTGGTTTACCAACTATCGATTGCTTTGTGCTTGCAATCGAGACTCCTCAGTATCCATTGCACACTCTCTAGGAGTTGTGACTAAACCTCACCATAACAGTTTTTTCATACATTTTATGAAGGTTTCGATGTTCATTTTTCAGCCTCCCAGGTCTGCTCCCTGGCAGAAGTTGGTCCTGAGTAGAGGTAGACAGATTTCTGCCCTGCGGATTGAAAGACTTGAAGCATGACATCTCCCAGTCTTCACTTATTCTCCAGCTGGAACTCTCAGTATTGACACAAAGATTCAATATGCAAAAGTGCAATATGGAAATAAATAGTGAGAGTCCTTGGCCTAGTGAGCTTGTGAGAACTAGGGAGGGTTCCTACTCTTCCTTGTGCCTCTTCTGTTCACAAGTCAGACACTAGTAACAGACATATAGAGGAAACAAAAGAACCCACCACCAGAGACTCCAGGAAAGAGGAGATCAGAGAAAGAAGGAGTACCTCAGATAGTATGGAACCCTTGTATTCTGGTGATCCATGGTCTCATAATTGCATATGGCTGTTGGGATTAAACTACTTATTCCCTAAAGAAAGTATAGTAAAAGCTGAGTACAGTGGCCCACATCTGTAATCCCAGCTGCCCAGCTGGGGGAGATCAGAAGGACTGCGGTTTGATTAACCCTCACTCAAAGTTAGGGAGGTCTGATTTCCACAACCCCCACCAAAAAAAAAGGCGGAGGATTAAATATGAAGATCTTGGTTCCATGATGGCCAGAGGCAAAAAAAATATGAGACCATACTGAAAAATAACTCAAAGCTAATGAGGTGAGGGGCATGAATCAAGTGGTAAAGCAGTTGCCTAGAAAGCTCAGGGTTCTGAATTCAAATTCCAAACCCAGTAAAAGAGAGAGAGGGAGAGGGAACAGAGAGAGAGGGAAGGGAGGGGAAGGGAGGGGAAGGGAGGGGAAGGGAGGGGAAGGGAGGGGAAGGGAGGGGAAGGGAGGGGAGGGGAAGGGAAGGGAAAGGGAAGGGAAGGAAAGGAGGGGAAAGGAGAGGAGGGGAAGGGAGGGCAAGGGAAGGGAGGGGAAAGGAGAGGAGGGGAGGGGAGGGGAAGGGAAGAGAGGGGAAGGGAAGGGAGAAAAGAGAGAAGACAAAGGAAAGAGAAAGAAGTAAAAATAAAAATAAAAAGTAGGACCATATTGGGGCATTAGTGGCTCACACCTATAATCCTAGCTACACGAGAAGCTGAGCTCTGAGGATCAGAATTAGAAACTTGCCTTGGAAAGAAAATCCATGAAAATCTTCTCTCTCCTCAATCACCAAAAAGCCAGACAAGGGGTAGAGCACCCGCCTTGAGCAAAGAAAGCTCAGGGACAATGTCTAGATTTCAAGCTCCAGGACTGCCACTCAATGACTAACTAACTAACTAAATGAATAACTGTTAGCATAAAGACATTAGCTTGGTGGATTTTGGGAACATTGAGGTGTGGGCCAGAGGTAAGCCAAAGACAAATAAAAAGTGTATATTTTCCAAAGCTCTTCACATGCAAGTATATGAATGTTAAGATCTAGTTGACAGAATGGAAAATAGAAACACAAAAGGATGGGTAAAATTGAAGATGCAAGGGAAATTCAGAAAAATTCCATTCTTTCATGAATTATGCAAAGATATGTGGTAACTGATAACTATGCTGAAGCTTTATGTGGAAACTTTATCCACTTCACTATAATTGTTAACAAGACAATAAGATCATAAACTGATCTTTTACTGATAAAAATAGAAATATCAGTGTCTAAACACTGACAATATTATATGCAAACTAACAGAAGATGTTTATCATTGAAACAAAAACAAAACCAGCACAGGAAATTTGACATCTATTAAACAGTATTAGGAAAACTGCTTATCACAAATTCCTATTAAATACTTATATACTAATAAGCCAAATTACTGGGTTTATCAAAAGGTAGATTTAATTGTATGTTTATGTGGTGACTGTGTGTGTCTGTTCTGTGGCTTGTACTTGGGGCCTGGGTACTGACCCTTAGCTCTTTTGCTCAAGGCTAGTGCTCTATCACTTCAGCAACAGCTCTACTTCTGGCATTTAGCTGGTTAATTGAAGATAAGAGTCTCACAGCCTTTCTTGTTTGGGTTGGCTTTGAACAGTTATTTCCAATCTCAGCCTCCCAAGTAGCTAGGATGACAGGTGTGAGCCATTGGCACCTGGCCTATTTGCAAATTTTAAGAAATAAATTTCTGCTGGACACTGGTAGCTCACACCTGTCATCCTAGCTACTCAGGAGGCTGAGCTCTGAGGGTGGAGGTTCAAAGCTAGCCCAGGCAGGAAGAGCATGAGACTCTTATCTCCAATTAACCACCAGAAAACTGGATGCTAGCCTTGAGCTAAAGAGCTGAGAGACAGTGCCCAGGCCCAGAGTTCAAGCCCCACAACCGACAAAAAAAAAAAAAGAAAGAAAGAAAAAGAAAAAGAAATTTCTTATTTGAAAATAGAGTTTTCTTAATTTCATTGATGGAGTTGTATCTCAAATCAGGTATCAGTTCAAGTACTTTGGAATTGTGGATATATAATTATTAACACTAGATTTCTATTACATTTCTCAATTCATGTCCTAAAAGAATCAAAAGTTGATGGCATAAAAATTATTGGTAGGAGGTTATTTTTAAATAATCAGTTGAAATGTGCTTGATATCATGGGTTGATTTCTAATGTATTTAGAATGGTTTGAATCCCATTCCCTTCTGTCTTTTTACTATGCTATGCATGCCAAGAAAGTACAGTATGCACAGTTTAGGCATCATGGCTGGCTTTGCCCCTATAGAAAACAGGATTTGAATTATAGCTTTATTTCATATTTAGAATATTACAGCTTAAAATATAAACTTCAGGAATCAAAGTTTCTCTATACCAAAGAAATACCACAAATAGAATGTCTTACAAGCAATACTTTTACTTAAGCATAGAGGGTATTTTTCCGAATGGATCATATCTGCAAAGTTTACAGTAACCACCTTTTTACCCCTTTCCATGGGTCACCTTTATTACTTGATGTGGGTCCCTAAGCAAGTGAAAAAAAATAATTAAAAATAAAAACATAAAAGGAAGAGGTTTCAATAAAGCAGTAGAAAATTGAACAGGGGCGAACTCATGCACCTAGACAATGAATAAAAATTATATTTACTATATTCAAAATTAGCAGGAAAATAGAGATGTTGAGCACAATTTTCTTTTCATGGTACATTGGAAGAGCATCTCCTAAAGCATATAACTGAGGTCCATTTAGTAGTCTCTCACTAAGGGAAAATGATGAAATGTTCCTCATAAAAACATTATTTATATCTCCACAGTGCTATTAGCTGTTTTATGAAGAGTGGGAACAATTTGTTCAGGGAATGTACATTCTTTTGGACTCCTATAGCCCACGTTTTAAATTGCATGATTAATTTTACATCTTTGATTACTTTTGCAACCCTTGCAATTCTTTTTGAGAGCCTCAGCCTTAATAGGCAAGAAAACTGTGGGCAGATTGTTAAAATATTCAGCTACCAGAGTAATGCCCCAGCCATCTGGAAGGATTTCTACTAGTCAGCAAACTTGGAGCAGGGAGAGCTCACAATTCCACATGTCTGCTTCATGTGTCCATACATGTTTGCTGGACAAAGGGCCAGGGACCATGTTGTATGGTGGAGCCAAATGGACTGGAGACTGACGTTAGACATTAAAAATAAACTCTTCCTCTCTGAATTTCTTTGTGCTGAATACAGTGCTAGAGGAATATTTTCTTGTTGCCAGATGTGCAGGTTAATGTCTGATATTGAGCTTTTCTTTTAGATAGGTTTTTCCTTTTGTTGAATGAAGGAAAATGAAATTCTCATCTTGATTTTTTTTCCGTACCTTACCTCATTTCAGAGTTTTTTTGGAAACACAGTATTATTCCAAACAGGGACATGACTAATCAATTATCCTAACATTTACTTGCAAGTGGAATTTGTGTCCAAGTCTTTTTTTCCCACCCATTAATTAAAACACCAGGTCATTACTTAGGTCTTCCTTGTTCAAACTGAAGCTTTAAGTGGTGAACTTTATTGGAATATTAATGAGAGCCTGAGAGCTCTAATTCACTAAAGGATCACCCTGGAGAGACAATTTCTTTCAATAGTTAAGCCTGGGCACAGTACTAAAGAAGTACAAATGCAGTAATTATTCCATTATTCTGATCAATACAGTCAAGTAAACCACAGATTGAAGACTTCAATGTGATCAGACCTCAAGAAAATAGTCTCCATCAATCAATTTCACAGGAGGGCCAGATAACCTTTACCACTGAAGAGCAGGCACAGATTCAATATCTACGTTTGTGACTGCCTGGGTTTTGTTTTGCTTTTCATTTTAAGTGATGTCATCCTTGTTTAGCTATTTCTATTGATAGATTAAAAAATACCATAAAGCCTCAGTTGACCTAAAAGCTTGGATTTATAGAGAAAAGATGTATTTTTGTATTTTAGGAAAAGAAATGAATGCTTATGACATACAAGAAATTCTTTCCTTTTCATTCTAAACTGCATATTGAATATAATCTAAACTCAAGATACAGTCTAGAAAATGTGGAAGCTAGAATCAAGCTAAGATAAGCTGTCGTATGCCCTCATTTCTTTTTGTGGGGAAAATGACGTACAGAAAAGTGAAATCACATGATGAAGGCCAAAGAGAGAGTGTCACATTATTAGAAAGAAAATCTCAATTTTTTTCCAAGTTCTTGGTAATACTGTATTCCACCAAAATCTGACTTTTTCAGTTAATATTATGCAATATCACAGATATACCTCAATACAAATTAATTCAGTTCAATGGTAAGGAAGAGTAAGTTTGGTGACTAATTTAATAAATCCTGGAAGCTGTGGATGTGTGTGTGTGTGTGTGTGTGTGTGTGTGTGTGTGTTGAATCCTTCAAGTGATCTTTCCTTGTCATCTGTACCCTTCATATGGTGTGCTTGAGAAATCGAAGAGTATTAAAACTTCGTGCTTGTACGTTAAACATGTCAAAACCACTGACCTATCTGAATACATATACAAAGGGCCATGTATATAATCATCGTCTTTAAGTAGAAACAAAAAAATCATCTTGGAGAACATACCTTCTACTGTGACATTGAAAACATGACTCGCCATTCCTAAGAAATTGTTGGCTATGCAGCGATAAAGTCCTTTGTCTTGGAAGGACACATTTTCTATCTTCAAAGTCTTGCCATAGTTTTCTTTTGTTTCTCTTTCCTTTGGTAAATCCCCATCCAATTTATTCCACTCGATCTGTGGAGTTGGTCTGAAATAAATAAATGGACAGATAGATAAATGAATGAATGAACAAATAAATACACCTGAGGACAGTCTTCACCAGCTTGCATTTACATACCCACTGAACTTTATTATCCTTACCAAAGAGACTGACCTGCACACATGCAGGGCTGTAGGTAAGTATCATACTTGGTAAGCTGCTAATAATTCTCTGATCTCTTTATTAAGCTATTTAACTACTTTTGAGTAAATGTGACCAGAAGAAGCTGTATATTTGGAATCTATTGTTGTGGTATTATGATATATTTTTTCAACTGTGAGAAAAATCTTTCTGTGGGTTCCCCTCTTCCGGTCCGACCTTGAACACAATGTTGACATAGGCTCCAAGACTCAGCATTAGGAAACAGTGATTTGCCTTTCATCCTAAGGAAAGTGATCTTGGATTGTGTGGCTCAGATGAAAAGGCAAAACACATTGGCTGGCTAAGGAGAGGAAAAGGACATTCATTCCAAGGTAGCCTGGAGCCCACAATATGCTATCAGACAAGAAAGTCTGAGTAAAACTTATATCTCCATTAACCGGTCAAAAAGGTGGAAATGAGCCAGATGCTGATGGTTCATGCCTGTAATCCTAGCTACTCAGGAGACTGAGATCTGGGGATCGTGGTTCAAAGCCAGCCCAGGCAGGAAAGTCTGTGAGACTCTTATCTCCAATAAACTACTCAGCAAAAGCTGAAAGTGGCGCTGTGGCTCCAGTAGTTGAGCACTAACCTTGAGCACGAAGGGACTCAGGGATAGTGTCCAAGCCCTAAGTTCAAGCCCCAGAAAGGACAGACAAAAACTAAAAAAAAAAAAAAAAGGAGAGAGTATGGCCTAACCACTAGGCAGAAAATGTAGCCACATCAGGTACAGGTTTGGGTGACACTATGTGGGTATTTTTGTGTGTCAAAGATGCACAGATATGGACATTCATTTCTTTTGATATCTTTCTTTGTAACTTTCTATCTTTTCTCTTATTTAAAGACAACCTACACAATGCCCAGCCCACTCAAGACATGTGTGGGAAAGAAGGAAAAAGGAGTCCGTGAGTGAGGAGACTGAGAGAAAGGCAGCCCACGATTGTGATGAATCCTCTGAGTGTTTAGTTTGTTCCTGTGTGAATCCACATGAACACAACCGTGACAGCAGGTGGTCTCCATCACGGGTCAGGTGGAACACGAAGGCTTAGGTCTACTACAATCAAACAGGAACCCAATTTCCTCAACAGAGGCCACACCGCTCCACATCCAAATATTTAGTATTGGCAATGGAAGGGAAGCAATGGTAATGGAAGGGAAGCAAACAACTTGAATACATTTTGCTGGGTGGAAAGGAAATTTGGCCAAGTGCAGGAGTTTTCAAACCACTGAAATTCATCCCTTTCCTTCATCATGTCATTTAAACCTAGTCATTCAGAATGAATGTGTACAGTTATTTTTTAAACACTTTTCTATTAAAGAGACTCCCAGCTCAGTGTTGATGGCTCATATGTGATCCAGGATACTCAGGAGGCTGAAATCTGAGGATCACAATTCAAAGCCCGGGGCAGGAAAGTCCATGAGACTCTTATCTCCAATTAACCACCAGAAAACTGCAAGTGGCGCTGTGGTTCAAAGTGGTAGAGCACTAGTGTTGAGCAAAAAAGAACTCAGGGACAGTGCCCAGAGCCTGAGTTCAAGCCCCACAACTGACAAATATACAAACAGACTCGCAAATGTCCATAAGCTTATAAGTTGATTATGGCTCAAATGGATAAACTTGATTGGCTAGGGAAATAGAATTCTCTTTTTCATGTCATTCTCCATGGTGTCTTGGATGGTATGGAAGGATTGTTAAGTTCAGAGGGGTAATGGTGAAAAGCAGATGACAAAATGACCAAATTATGAAATAAGAAAGCATCATTTTACATAGGCTTACAGTAATTTCCCAATAAATACAACAATGTCAAGAGATGACCAAATGACAACCAAGCCTGGTGACTCAAGCCTATAATCCTGGCTGCTTAGGAGGTGGATACTGGGAAATCATGATTCAGGGCCAGCATAAGCAAAAGGGAATTCTCCAGAATCCATTTCAAATAATGGCTTTTCTGGGGAGATGGGTTGTGCGTGCCTGTTATCCCATTGACTTGGGGAAACATGAGTAGGAGGATTACAGTCTAGACTAGCTGAGCCTAAAGTGAGACGAACCCAAGCAAATAGGGGCAGGATGCCTGTTTAGCAAGCCTGGGGTCTAAGTTCAAACTCCAGCACTGGGGAGAGTAGCAGTGGCCAGAAAAGAGAGAGAAAAGGAAAAGAGAGAAGGAGAGAGATGACTGAGAGAGGGCTGTTCGTGATTTCATGTAGGCACTGGGAAAGTACACTGTGAGGGCAGTTCAGTTAAGCAGGTTTTGATGTGAAACTCTCTTAAATTCCACAGCCCAGACCTGCTTGTGTGTGAAGACAACAGGGTGAAACATGAGGTAAATGAGAAAGGAGCAGAGCTGGTCCTATAGCAAGTAGAAGTAGCACAAGATACAGGGAGAAAAGGGCAAAGCTGGGTGGTCTATCAACACACTCGTACTCAGAGGCCAGCATTGACTTCCACGATTGACTCCATTAAGGAGATCCCACCCTATCCCAGAGACAGAGGCAGTGAATTAGGAGTCCATTTTAGTCCTGTCCTGATGTCTATGTACAAGTGTCTTCCTTTGGTAATACAGTAGCAGGACTTGTCACTTAGAAAAAGAAAGACATTTGAACATGTGTACGTGGCCCATTCGAAAACCAGGATACCCAGCCATGAGCAAGCAGGGGTCTGGCTACTCACAGGCCCTCCGCGAAGCACTCCAGCAACAGCGTGTCTCCTTTGAGGATGGTCATAGAAGACGAGTCGCCTCTCTCAGGAGGAGGCAGCAGCAGTCTAGGCTTCCTCTGCTTGATTGAATTGGCTATGGAGAGGAATGGCAAGGTTGGGCCTTTTGCAAACAGGGGTAGTGGAAATTCTGTATGCTGCATCTGTCTCCAAACATCTTAACATAGGTGTCCATGTGGGCATAGACATACATCTGCATGCATTTCGATTTAGACTGCTCTTCTCTCTTTCCCTGAAGCATGAGTTGTGCCTCAGATTTGTTAACTAATTATTTCATAAAGGTTATCATTGTGAAGATTGAAGGCAAGTAACTTCTTGATGAAACACTTAAGCTAGGAATCTGTGAATTTTATATGCTACACGTTTATCAGGCTTTGTCAGGTGTGGTGGCCATTTGTCTTCCTTTTATTTAATGTGCCTATGTGTTTGCTAAGGTTCCTAGTAAAAAAACACAGTTTCCTGGGTTTATAATGGAGAAATTCTGACTGAAGAAATCAGTGTCCTCCGGAAACGACTCACAGCCTCAGGAACTCTCAAACATAAAACCCATATTAGGAAATAGCTAGTAAACATTCTTACTAACTGCAAATGGGCCTAGTCTATTTTTTCTCCTTTTTTTAAAAAAAGCATAATTTTTACAGATGAGAAGATTGCAATATCCACTGCTAATTTCTATTTTATTTCCAAATGCTAAGCATGCATTGCTTCTGTTCTTATCCAATATCAATGCAATTTGACTTTCTATGGAATGGAAATAAATAGTTGTCATTCTGTACTATCAGAAGAAGGAACTGTTAGGTGCTAGAAACAGTGTTTGCTTTTCTATGTGCTTTTTACAAGTATTGACACAGCGAGAAATCACTGTTGGCCATTGACTACACACAGTGGTTTTTATTGGATGCTGTAAAGAAAGTGTATAAGCCTGAGGTGTTGACCCCAGAGAAAATGATGTCTGGGAAACATGAGGTAACTTAAGGCTGAGGATAGCCAAAAAGGATAGCTCTGATTTATTTCTCCTGATGTCACCCATGCATCAAAAAATTGAAGTCGTAGGTCCACATGACAAGATTGCCCTCACTACAGAAAATAGCCTGTTACATAATTCATATTACATAGACCTCTTACCTAAAGCGCTAACTCTAACAGGTGTTCTATGGTTAAAATAAATGAAACAAGAAAGGTCTCACAGACAAACAAACTGAGAAAACACCGCAAAACTCTAGTCTTCTCCAGAGAATCGCAATGCATCATGGTCTATTAGCTATTCTAACAAGTCTTGTGAGAAAGATATTCATTTAATTTTCTTAAATTCAGTGTTTTCCTACTTCTCTTGACCCTTAAATATTTCTTTTTATTTGCTTCATATAAAGCTATCCATCTAATGTAGTACAAAAGATGCATTAGAAAACCCAAGATAACACGGTCATATTATTCAATGTACATGTGTGAAAATGGGACCAGTTAAATTGAGGGGATAGGGTTTGAAAGAGATTGGCAGAGAACAAGCAAAGAGGTGACATTGATCAAGATGTATCGTACTAATGAATGGAAATGTTTAATTGAAACTCCTTGGTACAATTACATAAAGATAATTTTTTTTAAAAAGAAATGATCAAAAATGAAAATAAAATTATTTTAAATACCTACATCTGTATCTATGCATCTTAATAAATTATGTGATATTATAGAATTATAATAATATAGTGATACAAAATAATGTGCTACATAATTCTAATTAAATGTCATTATACCTATATAGTTATAAATATAATTTAATAATTTTATATTTAACATAATGTATTAGTATATTATAATAATATTTAACTATTTTATATTTTTATAGTTATGAATATGTAAAATTCAGGTTTTTTTGCATGCACTAAAGAGGACAATAAAAAACTCCATGGTAATCAGTTTTTTTAAATTAGGAATGCTAGCATTGTAATAAATTCATAAAGGTAACAAAGGAATCATTCATATTTTGAGGTGTGATCTCTGAATAAGTATTAAGGTAAAAATTAATACTAATTCTTTGCACTGCTTAACTTACCCTTGGAATTAATTTCTGTGGATGAACTTGACTCATTAGCATGCTTTACTGAAATAAAAAACAAATGGAAGAAAAACAACACAAACATAATGGTACATGCTGCTATTAATAAAAAATGATCAGTCATGTCTTTGCAGGAAATTACAGAATGGGGTAGAACATGGTTCCCCTCTCACATGGTTATGGGAATATGGTTTAGCACAGAAGAAATTATGAAGAGCTTATTCTGGAATTCCCATGGATGAGTACAGGTGGAAAGGATTCAGGTGACGGCATGGCAGTATGATTCTACATACAATAATGAAAAAAAAACCATGAAATACGGACCACATCAGACAATAAAATGGTCATGCCAGCTCTCCACAATTCCAAAGCCAATTATTCAGCCTGTAAAACGATTGTGGATTATCTCTTCCCTTTGAGTCTTATGTTCCTCCTCCCACTAATTACTCTTTCCCATTTGGGAACCCAGAAACAAATAGGAAACAGAATCAGTTGGAATAACTTTGCCAAGTTAGGAAGGACAAAGAAAAAAAAACCCTTGCTAAAAATGTTAATCCTGATTCTCTTATTTTCGACTCTGTTGTTTGGTCTCCCATCTCCCGCCTGCCACGTTATGCAAGGTCGCAGTGAATCAATGCTGTCATCTTGCTTTAGAAAATCCAGGAATTTCATTGTGTGTTTCACCCAGGGAAAACTGACTAGATCCTGCATATATCAAATGAAAGACACTTGTACTGTGAATTGAGATTCCCCCCACCCCCCACCCCGGCTGCAGAAAAAGAGCTACTGTTGATCTGCACATGCAGATGTTTTGTTCATCTGGATGAAGTCTCTGGAGTTGAATGAAATAATCACGGAAAATACCAACCCTGATCTAAATGGCTCCTGCCAGGATGAAATTACACACACACACACACACACACACACACACACACACACACACACATTTGCATTCAGCATGCAAGACAGATTGATACATGATTTGGACTTACAACTGTTCACTGTTAATTTCATTGGCATCTTTTGTACGATCGTCCTCAATCTTGGAAATGCAGCAAAGCAACAATAGTCATTCCGACTGTCTTTTTCTTCCACATTGGCGAAGTACAGATCCCCATCTTGGCTCATGTAGACTCGTTCATCTTGCTCAATGTGTTCTAATTCTGGAAGGAAATATGGAGTGATTGTGAGGGGCCTTTGTCCCCTACAAGTATTTTTTTCCATTCATTCATTTTTAATCCCTTTAGGTTATTTCACCTTATTTGATTTTTTTCTTTTCTTCTCCTATTCCTCTCAAATTTGGTAATGCTAAAAGAGCAATGAATAGGCAAATATTTTAAAATAAGAAATGAACTACACAGCTCCTAGGTGGAGATAGGAGGGGAAAACTGAGAAGGAGCAAGGGAAGGGGTAACATTGTCCAAACAAAATGTATTCTACCTGACCTATGCAATTGTAAACCCTCTATACATCACCTTTATAATAAACAATAAAATTAAGTAAATAAATAAAGACAAGGAACTAGGAACTCATGAACAAAGCTGCCACTGACGGTCGAGCACTTGAACATTGTGTGTCTTTTTAGATCTTTACTTCTGCTCCAAGTCTGCACTGACCTATAGGAAAACCAGTCAAGTTGGATAATGATTGAACATTCTTTTATTTTTGGAGGGATGGGGGTATGATATTTTTTTGAAACAGTGCTACTGAAAGGAGATATATACAATGCTGTCCCAGTGCAACCTGAGAGATGGAGTTTGCAATTTTGGCTTCAGCCAAAAGCAGCTTCTTTTGCTTTATTTTGAAAAAAAAATATATATATATAGTTTTCTATGTGGGACATAGTGAGGAAATATCTAGGGAGCTAAAGCAATGCTAAAAGAGGGCTTTACAGAAAGCTGGGATTTGTGCCAGACACTACTGGCTCACACTGTAACCCTAACTACTTAGCAGTCTGAAATATGAGGATCACAGTTGGAAGCCAGTCCAGACAGAAAAGTCTGAGAGACTCTTATATCCAAAGCCAGAAGTGGATTGTACCTCAAGTGTTAGGATGGCAGCTTTGAGTGAAAAAGGTCCAAGCCCTGAATTCAATCTCTAGTACAGTACCTGCACCAAAAAAGGAAGGAAGGAAGGAAGGAGGGAAGGAAGGGAGAGAAGGAAGAAAGGAAGGTAGGCAGGCAGGCAGGCAAGCAGGAAGGAAGGAAGGAGGAAAGGAAGAAGGGAAGGAAGGAAGGGAGGGAGGGACAGAGGGAAGGAAAGAGGAGGGAGAGGAGGGGGGAAAGGGGAGAAGGAGAAGGAAAGGGAGAAGGAGAGGGAGAAACCCTGGAATTTATGTCAGGAAAGCTTCTTGGAAAATCCAGCACAAAGGTTAACACTAATTTGTTTGTGCGTCTGTTCATTTGGCAGGTAGAATATACTTACAACAGAAATACTAAGTTAGCAACCCAAACACAAGCCAGTCTCAACTCGAACATGACCTATATCCCAAAAGGCAATTAATTGGAATATAGAAAGTCCAGTCTTCACAGACCTATTCTTATATTTTCAAATGTAATAAGATCAAGAGATAGCTTTAGTGGTTTGTCTAAATGTTTCCCCATTTGCACTTTAGTTTATACTTAGGACCCAGGGCAGACTTTTGAATTTGTCTGTTTTGAAGTAACCTGTTTGAGTCTGCAGGAATACGCTTACGAGAAAATTTTACATTTGGCATCTTTCTTTTAATCAACATGCAATTAATCTGCACTCTTGTCAATGGGGTGCAGCATTCCTTACCAATATTCATCCAGTAAACGTGCAGCGGGGGTAAGCCTTTGGGCGGATTGCAACGAAGGACAATGGGGTCACCTTCTTCCACTTCCAAGGGATCGATTTTTTCTTTGGGGAATTTCGGAACACCTGGTGTGAAGATAATTTTTAAGACATCATTTCAAGTGAGCACATAATGCCACAGCACCTTCTATAGTATTACCAGTCACGAATATGCTTTTTGAAATAATGGAATATTTTTTTTTTTGGTCCGGTCGTGGGGTCTGAACTCTGGGCCTGAGCACTGTCCCTCAGCTCTTCAGCTCAAGGCTAGCGCTCTACCACTTGAGCCACAGCACCACTTCCTGCTTTTTTCTTTTTGCTTATGTGGTGCTGAGGAATCGAACCCAGGGCCTCAGGCTTGCAAGGCAAGCGCTCTACCACTGAGCCACCTTCCCAGCCCCAAAATAATGGAATATTTTTAAAGAAATTCAACACCATGGGCCCTTGCTTGGCTCATTCATCCCCCCCACCCCCCGCAGAGGTTAAAACACTTTTAAGAAACGGATGTGCATGCTTATATAATTTTAAAATGCTTCAATCCTAGGCCAAAAAAAAAGATTGTTGCGGTGTGACATCAATAAGACAAAAATACACTTGTGCATATTTTTTTTCCAGGCTGAGGTGTAAGTCACAGTATTCGCTTATTTTAGTTTTCAAAGAGAAAAATAATCATCTGTTCTCCAAATACAGTTGAGTTTTATATGCCCTATCTGCTGTTCACTGCAAAGGTCTTAAATGTGATTGGCAGATATCTGTTCAGAGAATTAACTACGCTAAATAAAAAATTCAAACCCCTACATTGAGAAAATTGATACGTGTCCAGTGAAAAGCCAAACATGACTACTGTAAATTGCAAAGAGAACCAGCAGCATAAATATAATTTTAGATGAAATGGAATTGGTATATGAAAGAAAATTCTCCAATATTTAAATCTGTTTGCTTCTCATACATGAGCCAAGGCTATAAAAGAGCAACACAGAATTAGAACTCCAACAACAGTGATTAATATTCTTACAGATGTATTTATATTTATAAGGATATAAAACTTCATTCAGCCTGAACAGTATATGGCTGTTTTACATTTTTGTTGAGGGGGTTATTTTCATTTTCAAACTCTGTAGGCTAGTACTGAGGGCCATGAGCTTATAAAAAAAAGATATTTATAAGCATCCTGATCTGATAGGATTTATTAGCCAGTATTCCATTTCTGTATTATATTCTGAACCTGAGGCTCATGATACACTATCATTTTATTCTTGGAGGTCTAAAGGTCTGCTCCTTTACAGCACAATTTCTTCTGAGCCTCTTTGTGCATTTCTTATGTGTTCCTAAGCCCCTCATCCTCCGCCCCATTCTTACAATAGTTGAGGGAATTTGCTGACATTTCTTCTACAGACACACCAGCTGGTTACTATAAATTGCTTTTTGTCTAAATTCAAGGACCTTTCAAAGCTCCAAAGCGCAGGAAGCCATGTGGTGGCTGCAGCCTCTCAGCAGTTCGGGAAGGCAGGCTTATCTGTACGCATGCAGCGCATGACTGGCTCTCTGTGGATTCCCTCCTGGTCCACTCGTTTCTATCAGATTTCCTCTGGAAATCTGAAAACATGCTCGAAATGGCAATCTTCCCTGAATTATACCTTTTCTATAACATACGGTTTCTATGAAAAGTTAGAAACATATGTTTAGTTTGCTCACCACATGACAAATACCATGATAAAATACCATGTGAGCTATTTTGTAAAACCCACGTTTGGATTGAGAGAAATATTACTTAAGTCATTTTCCAGAAAAGAGGTGGTATAAAGTAAGATGTAGTAACTCATAAAGAAATACAGCTGGATACTGATGATTTACACTTGCTACTCGGGTGGCTGAGATATTAGGATTATGATTTGAAGCCATCTTGGGCAGAAAAGTCCATAAGATTTTTACCTCCAATTAACTACCAAAACACCAGGAGTGGAGTTGTGGCTCAAGTAGTAGAGTGTCAGCACTGAGAGGAAGCTCCAAGGTTCTGAGTTCAAGCCCTAGTGCCATCCCCCCCCACACACACACATACATCCCACATATTATGTGCTCAGACATCCAAATTCAAATCACATGTAAAGTTATTGTAAATGAAACCCAGAACATACTAGTAAAGACAACATAGTGGCTGGGTGGCAGTTGAATCTATCGATAAAAGAAACAAAGGATAAAAGAAACAGAGGAAGAGAAACAGAAAATATAATGGAATGGCTCTGCATTTCCATTCTATAGTATGCAAACTCCTCAGTATTTAATGTGAACTCACAGCTCACTGGATAATATCTATAGCTAGAGATAAAAGAGATAACTAATATCTATAGCTATAGCTAAAAGACATAACTAATAAGATATATCAAAACTTAATTTGAGAACTGTTCTCTCAGGGCTTGAAGAAAAAAATAATCTAATGATTCACAGAGGTAACAGTGCCAGTGAAGCACTATTACCCCAACATTAATTAAATGTACATCATAAAATTCTAGCTATGAATATATAAATATGTAATTCAACAGGTTTCTGAGGCATAATAAAAGAAAAGAAATTTTATAAGTCTGTAACACATGCTATAAATCTTTGGAATAGTTAGCTAAAGATGTAATTAAGATCAGGAAACAGGTAAGGGCATTTATATATTTATTAATCTAAGGTTAATATTATACAAGATATTCATTTTACATTGTAATTATAATTAATATTATACAAGAAATTAATTTGTCAGAATTATTTAGGTCTTATTCTCTTGACTTTGGAATGCCTTACTTAGTTGGCTTCTATTCTAGAAACAAATTTTTAACATTTCCAGATAACTGCTAATTTTAATTACTATCAGCATAGCAGGCATGCAGTCAATTTCAACTGAAATAAAGAAAAAATGTTATCTAAAAAAAAATTCTAACCAGAGTATTTCACTAACTCTTTTTTTATGATAAATATCAGCCTTATTTAGTGTGGACATATGTAGTGGTTTTAATAATAAATGATGATTTGTGTCCATGTGAGGCAACTATACACCTTTGGCTTACCAACATATTTCTAAAAGACAATCAAACATCACAAAGAAACAATTACTTGGGCACCAGTAGCCCACAATTATAATCCGAGCTACTCATGAGGCTGAACTCTGAAAAACAAGGTTCAAGGCCAAAGTCCCTGAGACCCTTATGTCCAATTAACCAGCAAAATGTCAACATAGGCCTAAATATTAGACTAGCTCCAGCCTTCAGAGGAAAAGCCAAGTTAGAGTAGAGGCCTAGAGTTCAAGCCCGACTACTGGCACAAGGATAAACAATCACCGAACTATATTTTTAACAAGAATGAACTTGACCCTGAGTCACTCTCTGCAAAAGGATCAGAATTTACTGAGATATTCCTTTCTACCCACGGAAACTCTAAGCATGTTCAGTGGTTCCATTACAACCCAATCTAATTGAAGTCCACTCCTTCTTTTTCTATGTGAGCCCATTGCCATTCTATTTGCACCAGCAAATTAAGCACAACACAAACTTCCCTGTCCTCCTATTCTCCTTCGTGTCTACTATTCACGTGCCAAAACTATGTATTTATGCTTCGCTTCTTGAAAACTCCATCTCCAACCCCCAGTTAGAATCTAGTGTGAAAAATTTTTCCTGGAGGCCTTAGCTGCACAACATGTTTTATCAGCAGAGGGTGCTAGACCCAGTGAAGCTGCAAATACAAAGTCCCCTGGATCTCCTCAGGGGCGGTCAATGTTCAAAACCTCATTACCTCTCTTCTTCCAGTCCAAAATTCAGCAAAGTTGACATCTTCATGATGAAGACTTCTAACAACAACAACAACAAAACGCTACCTAGAAACTATCCTGTGGGGTAGTCTGAGTTCAATCTCACATTGAACCCCCCGGGTATGTAGATTGTAAATAATTTCCTTACTTTTCCATGTGCCCTTTTAATATTTTTATTATATTTTATTATCTTTAAGTAGTTATACAAGGGGGTGCCATCTACCATGTCAGTGTGTGAGTACAATGTCTCTTAATCAATGTCACGCCTTTCATTACTCTCCACATCCCTCCCTGTTCCTTAAAAAAAAAATGGGCTAGGAGGATGGCTCAGTGGTAGAGCACTTGCCTCGCATGCATGAGGCCCTGGGTTCAATTCCTCAGCGCCACATAGGCAGAAAAAGTAAAGCAGCAAAATGGCGCTGTGGCTCAAGTGGTAGTGTGCTAGCCTTGAGCTGAAGAACTGAGGGACAGCACCCAGGCCCAGAGTTCAGCCCCCACAATACAAATAAATAAGTAAATTGACATTGTAGAATCCTCTTTATTTCTTAAGATTCTCAAAAGCTTCCCCGGGACCAGAATCTTTCTAATGGTAGTTAATCATAAAACTCAAACTGTGAAAATCAGTAATGAAATGGCATCAGGTTAATATAATTAAATAGCATTCAGGAAATTAACCACTGCAGTATAAACATAACTTGTGCTTTAACTACTAGGAAGTTATGAAGCACATAGATTACCTTTCTCTAGCACTAACGGAACAAAATCAATATTCCCATACCTTTTTGATTCTGCTACTCAACTTCACGCTATTTTTAACCACATAAAACATCTCTCTGCTTATTTAGAGGATAACCAATTACAGGCAGTACCATTCAGCTTCGTGTTATTCACATGAAATCTAGATTCAGCCACTGGGGACTGAATCCTGGTTTCGTTTCTTAACTTGGACTTGTTAGATAATGTGATAGGATACTCATCCATACCATGGAAAGTGTAATGATGACTATCTATCTCATTGGTTTGTAGCCAAGTTTAAATACAGTATTTCCAGTGAACCAATGAAAATAGTGGCTGAAACTAACAAAGTACTCAATCTGTACTGGCTACTACCATTCGAATACTTCAAGTTTGCTTAATGTAAAACCACTATCACATGTTTAAAAAACTAAATGAGATAAGTCCAGACACCGGTGGCTCTTCATGCCTGTAATCCTAACCATTCAGTAGGCTGTGATTGAGGTTCAAAGGCAGCCTGAGCAGGACCGTTCAGGAGACTCTCATCTCCAATGAACTTTTTTTA